CTTTCAACTCAGAGTCTCACACCCTGTCTCTTAGCAGCTGCGAGAGCGTCCCTGTCCGTCAGAAAAGCTAACAGACTCACGGGTACTGCAGTGGATGAAACTGGGTGAGGTTGGTGGCTTCAATCCAGAGCTCACCGAGTTCTCCTCTCACCAGTGTTATAGATTGGACAGTGCCAACAAACAGCAGAGATGGATGGTGCTGGTCCCAGACAGGATGCTGCTGTCTATAAAAACCTAGGAACCTCAAGTGGCAGAAAACATATGCTGATCTTTCCTGAGACCAGATAATTCCCCTAATATGATAATTTATAGTGATATCAATTTTCCTGCAAATGGCATAACATTGTCCTTCATTGCTACACAGATTTCCAGTGAGTACAGACAGCACACTTTCCTTCTCCACCCCTCCACTGTTGGACACGTGGACTGTTTCTGTCAATAGTGCTGTGGTAAACAGTGATGTACAAGTTTCTCTGTCATGTATTGATTCAGAGTCCTTTGGATAAACAACAGGCCCCGCACTTCTGATAGCCACTAGAGGGAAGGGAAAAGGAGGGCACAGACAAAGACAGGAGTTCTTGAAGACTGTCACTTGTCAAGTGTCTGGGTAAATGTTAGAAATATTAGGGGACTGGAACGATGGCTCAGTGGTTAAAAGCACTGGCTGTTCTTACAGAGGACGGGGGTTCAATTCCAAGCACACACATGGCAGCTCACAACTGTCCATAACTCTAGTTCTAGGGGATCTGCTTGCTACCCTCACACAGATATGAATGAAGGCAAAACAACAATGCACATAAAATAAAATTAAATAAATTATTAAAAAAATATCAGCCAGTAGCCAGGAATTAAAGTGAAGGATTGAGACCCACCGTGTTATGAAATGAAGAATGTGTTCATTAAAAACACATGGGTCAAAGGAAAAGAGAAGCTGTCAGGTTATCACAGTGAAGGAATCCCTGCAAAACTTATAAAAAAATTCCATTTATTTATTTGTTAATTACGTCTGTGTGTTTGTGTGTGCGCCATGATGCGAGCATGGGGGTCAGACAAGTCATGACTGTTGGTTGTCCTCTCCTACCATGTGGGTTTCAGCTACGGAGGAGGTCACGTTGTCTGGGCTGGTGGCAAGCACCTCTTGCCTGCCCTCTTGCGAACTTTGAAAGGGCCTGCAGTGAACTTATTTCTTAGCTTGGGCTCTGCTGCAATAATTCTAAGGGATAGAAGTGGCAGAGTCCCTTCTCCCCTAGACATCTCCCGTTTGCTTTTCCCCGAGACACTCCTGTCAGGAGGAGTGCTCTTCTACTTCAGAGAGGTGAGTGGTAGCATGCTGTTAAAAAACTCTGAGGAGCCATCTTTACAGAGGCAATACGATCATGACATAATTCTAAGCGGCCGTGACTACTGAAGGGGAAAGAAGCTGTTCTCATGCTCACTCAAAGAAACAAAGACTATCAGAATCCGCTAGAGAAAAAGCACAACAATCTCACAACTTAGCAGCGGTGGGTAGCAGTCTGAACAGGATGAACAGATAGGCGCCCAGTACGGCACCGGACCATGGGGCCTCAGCACAGCAGCAGTTACAAGCTGACTTGCTTCCTTTCTGTGGCACAGTCTTTCTTTGATGGCTCTGCTGTCTTGGCAGCTCCTGGTGGGTGGGGATGGTCAACTTTCCAGATAAGCGTTCTCCTGGCTTTGGCTATGGTTTGAAAGAGACATGTCTCCTGGAGGATCATGTGCTTGAACATTTGGTCCACAGCTGGCAGGGCTGCTGTGGGGTGTGATGGAAACTTCTTCAGGAGGTGGAGCTTAGTTGGAAGGCATAGATAACTGGAGGTGGACCTGCCCCCCCCCCTGGGTCACTACTTTATGATTGGATGGGAAGGCTGTCACTCTCCCAGCACTCTAACTACCCAGGGCCAAACTGTCATTTAATTCTATGGGAGCACTTGAATTTATGTCCCATTAAAGCTCCTGTTTGAAAATTATAAGCTGAAGCATGAAATTCTCTGGTTCCCCCTGACACACTAAAAATGGAAAATTCATTTCATGGTCACAGAACCAATAATGAAAAAAAAAAAAAAGGCTTCTTTAAACATATCCAGGTTTTCCTTTAAGAGCAAATGATCTTCAGGTGTTTAGAGCACAGCCTTTGTGTTTACAGTGTTTTATAAACACTGGGCATGCTGAGAAAAGCCTCATGTGTCATGAGAAACTACTGCATGGATAGGAGGCTGAGGGCTTTCTCCATGACATTTGCTTTTAGTTTCCAGCTTAAGTCTGATTTTTTTTTTTTTCTTTTAGATCCAAGGTCAACATGGAAAGACAGCATAGCCATTTCCTTTTCGAAATTATTGTAAGTACCATTAGGTTAAAATGTTTATGTCACTATAAAAATGCTGTTGTCTTATGCAAATGATTTGACACAGATTATTGAAACAAAAATTGCAGTGTAAAATTGTATACGTGAACAAAAAAATATCTTGTTAGCTACCATACCCTGTTTACAAATACTGAGCGGTCTCAGATCAGTCACATGACGAGAACGTTTGACAAAAATCAGTTGGAGCACCCACCAGAGTCACAACGCAATCTCAAAAATTCATATTCTTGTCAAAAGACCCCAGGAGCCCCTTCAACCTCATGGATGTGCAACGGGCTCCCAGGCTCCTCTCTATGAATATTTGTGAAAATATTTGTGAAATATTTGTGAAAACATCAGGTATGAAGAAATTTTGAGATAACCAAAGTCCATCAAAAAGCCCACACATGAGTTGGGACAATACACAGAAACATAAAACAAAACAAAACAATGATAACATCTCCTCCCCCTCCAATCTCAATCGTCCTTAGTTGGCAAGGCTCCAGTCGTACTCATGATGAGTCTTCCTAATATCTACTTTTCTGTTCATTCCTTACCAGCCACAAAACAGCAACAGAAATAAAAACCAAATGACGCTAAGTTTCCAACCTCTAGACCTGGTTGACCCTAGGTGTGATCACCTTTTTGAACTCATCAGTCAATCAACAAACACTGCAAGCCAGGCAGGAGCATAGTTCAATAGGAAAGACTCAGGTGGTGTTTCTGATAAAGATCAAGGTCAACCATGACGTCACATCAAGCACACTGCTGAGTTCTGAGATCACTAAGGGTGTCCAGCGCTGGCCAGGAAGGGTGCCCTGTCATTATTACTTCTTTACTTTTTGAGCACCCTTATGGAACCTCAGACATGCAGATAAGGTCTGAGGACCTCAAGTCATAGAGAATTGTGCAAATAGTCTAGGATCTCTTGTCGGGCTTAGCTCTTTCTCTGGGCTTGTGCCTGAAGGTCTCTGGAAGTGTCTGTAGGAAGCAAAGCACAGTCTAACCCTGCAGCAACTGGGAAGCCAAAGCTGCCTTTCCTCTCTTGGGAGACCTTTGTGGTAGAAAGATCCCCCCCATCTCTGTCCCCCAATCCTCAGGCTGCCCATATCCTGGCTCTAGCCTTTGGACTGCCCCCCAGGCACCCTATCCAACCTCTCCAAGCAGCTCCACAGAACTTGTGTGTTAGGGCATCCCAGGATCCATATCCTTGCTCTTGCTTTCTCTGGGATGTCCCTTCCCCCAGCCTCTCTGCTCTTCTAATTCATGCATATCCTCTGACCTCATTTCAAATGCCATTATCTCCAGGAAGGCCTCTCTCATTTACCTTCCACTAGAAGCTTCTCTTTGTGCTCTGAACTGCCACACATGTATCCGTCTCTTCTACTGTTCCTCATCTTTTTGTTTGTTATCTTCTACGGGAAGCTGAATAGCATCATGGGCCAGAAAGGGTATTGGATTCCCTGGAGCCAGAGTTACAGGCAGTTATGAGCTGCCTGACATTGGTGCTGGGGGCTGAATTCGGGTCCTCTGCAAGAGCATCAAGCATTCTTAATCTCTGAGTAAAATTAAAATAAAATTCTGCTACAGATAGGGCGCGCGCACACACACACACACACACACACACACACAGTAAAGATGTTGTCAAATTCATGGGGTCATTATTAGTGCCTCTATGGTTTTCTCTCTCAGGACAGAAAAAGACAGAAAAAGGTCAGCGTGAGCAGCAGAACTACAGTGACTCTCGACCAAAGATGGTGGTCAGAAGAAAGGCCCTTCCTACGGTTTGTACTTTTTAACTTTTTTGTGGGGGGTGTGTGATGCTGGGAATTCAACTGTGGCTACAGGCATGCTAAGCATGGGCTCCAATGCCGAAGTGAAAAACCTAGCCTCTATACCAATGTTTTTTACACTAAACCTGACAGACACCTCATCAAGCTCTGAATTATGGTCTGCAGAGAGAGACAGCTACTTGGCACTTGGGTCCGTGGCATGAGTGTCCATGAGACCACCCCCACAATCTGGTCTTGATATAATCTGAGGGACACAGGAGAGTTATTGGAGATGCCTAGGCCTCCTTTCCCCCTGCTTCCTGTCTCAAGCACAGAGGATGTAGTTCCTTCAGACAGCACTAGTCTCTACCTTGTTCTGCACGTGAACAACCCAGTTTCTCTTGCTTCCTCTCTTTCCTCCTCTCTGCACTCCCACTTTATCAGCGAAGTTTGTTGGTCTAGTTACAAACCACTTGTTGAAGCTCATTCCTTCTGGCCACCGTCATGGCTACAGTTTAGATACTGTCCCTTAGACCTCTGTCATGACTGCCCCTTTCCTGGCCACCCAGCTTCTGGTCTGCTGTCTCTTCCCTGTAATCTGTTTTCTAGGCAATAGCCAATCAAGGTTAAAGATCATTGCCTGTTAGGAGCTCTCAGAGGTTCTCACACAATGTAGTACAACTCTCACTTGCCTACGGAAATAACTGACTGGGCTAGCATCCACACTCCACTCCAAATTAAATACATTTATTCATTCTGATGATCCTCAGTTGGAAAGTGTTTTAGTCTTATAAGAAAATAAATGAGTCGATGCCCGGGCAGAGACAGAAACACTGGCACACCATTCACACACACACGTGACTTACAGCTTCAGATTTGGGAGGCACTGGAGGTGGAGGTAGGGCGATTTCTGAAGACTTCGCTGTGCCTCCCAGGGTTGCAGGGGCAGGGAGAGAAGAGGTCGTACATTTGGATCGCGTGGAGCCTCTCAAGGGGTCGCACCTGCTCTTCTCACTGAGCGAGCGCGTGAGAGGCTGGCAGCTCGGCTTGCCTTCCTCCAGCCACAGCTCTTCATAGGGAACTTCTGGCTTTCCTGGGATGCCCGCCGACTCATCATTAGCTTCCGGGAAAAGGTAGTCACTCCCACTGTCACCAGAGTCTTGATAGGGGAGGATGTCGTGAGGAAAAGGGGCCCACTCTCCCCCAAGGTCCCTGCAGCCATGGAGGTTCACCTCACTGTTGCCGTGGAGATTGTTGCCGTACACACAGACTGAGAGCCGGTGGAAGGACTGGGTGAGCTCGTCGCGGGCATAGCTGAGGGAATTGGGTAAATGGTTGTGGCCAGAGCAACGGCCCTTTTTGGGGCTCTTGCAGTCTTCATTCCAGTCCGTTTTCACATCGCGAACAGCCCGTGAATACTCATCAATGTCAAACTGCTCTTGGCAGATACCAAGCCAGTGATGGACTAGGGTTTCTGGCCACACCTCTCCCTTCACCAGGTGTTCGGGGAGGCTGAACTTGGGGACAGTCAAGTGCAAAGGGAAGTGCATGGGGAGGATCTTGTTGTTTCGCAGCACACAGCAGACCACCACTGTCTTGGTCTGGATGTTCACAAACTTGTAGCGGTGTCCCTCTCTGATGAAGTGGAGGTCATAGGGGTTCCTGGGAGGGGGGCTGGGCACTGTCACGTTCACGGGGAGCCGAGTCTTCTCCACGATGTTTCGGATGGTGTGTTCCCCTTCCTGCATCTGCAGTTCCAGGGGGCTCCGGGTGCTAAACCTGCCCTTGCACTGGAATGGAAGGCTGATGCTCTCATTGGTCCGGTGATTCATGCAAATGAGGCAGGGCATTTTGCCTTTTCCCAGCTTGCTGATGGAATTGAGTTTCCCAATCTTTTTGAAGATGGTGTTGAGTCGCGACTTCTCCTTGAAGGTCTTTGCATAAAGGATTTCTGCTTGGCCCATTAGGGTGAGTTCATCCCCCGTACACAGGGCGATGTTGTAAACCTCAGTGTCTTCATTGCAGTCACCTGACGCAACCTATGACACGATAAACCGATACCACATTAGCGAGGGCAAACACGCACGCGCCAACGCTGAGCTCCCCTTTAACCCTGAGCGAGGGTGATTCATTTTATTTACGTGGCTAAGAGCAGCCACATTCTTCTATTTGCCACACATGTTTTATTTTGGAGAGGGCTGTGGGCGAACGCTGCTGAAAGGTTAACGTTTTGTTCTTTGACAGCTCCATACATGTCAATTTTGGCATGTTTATCAGTCGCTTCCGTCTTCTCTCTTAGCCCCCCTCACTCTGTATAGAACCCTTCTTTCCCAGGATGGTCCCTTCTACTTTCTTATCTGTTTCATTTTTTAAACAACCCATGGAGTTAACTGGGCTTGCTTGCACGGGAATAGGTGTGAGGTTATCTCCTGCAGCACGGATGGCTTTACCAGTGGTTATCGTACCCCTCAAGAACGATGACTCCCCCTCCCCTAGCCGCCAGTAACTAGCAGTAGCTTCTTAGCTAAAGAAAAAAAAGACTTTAATGTAAGACGGCATGAAGTTAGACTTTAGCTTATTGTTATTATTTTTTATCTTGCTCTTTTTGAGCTATGACCTCACACAGCTGGGACTGGCCTCAGACTTACCAGCTAGCTGAAGCCACCTACTGCCTCTATCTCCCAAGTGCCAGGATTAGAGGTGTGTGCCACCACTTCTGGTTTTACATTGGATTATTAAAACAGGTTCACGCCTGGAAACACAAAGAGGTCTACCTGATGGATAATTATTTTGGAATACTAAGAATATCTTTTTTTGCCATTATAAATAACATTTTCATAAACTCTGAAGAATTTTTTTTTTTGCTATTTAAAATTACCCTAGAGTTTTGCCTTTTAAAATTTCCTAATTAATAAATTTTTTAAAATTTGGAAGAGACAAGGGATTAAGAATATTTGTGTGTTGCTAGATATTGAACCTGGGCTTTGAGCAAGCCAGACAGGTGAGATCTACTACCACATTATACAGCAAAATATCTAGATGGTTTGTTTCTCCATTTAAAAATGATTGTATAAAGTAGTCACGTTCATTGGAAGAAATATAAAAAATAAAAATATAAAGCATAAAATAAAAATAACAGGAACCTGTATTATTCCCCTACTGCATATCATCTGTAAAAAATCTTAGATAAATAGAAAAAAGAAATGGTATGTATCAGTTATCTCCAAGATACGTAAATTCATGCTCTTATTTGAGGCTTCCGTTCCACTCCCACTGCACCCATGTATATACTTCTCAAATGACAATCATCTGTTCTGTTTATTACACAAAGATGGGCTTTACTTTGCTTTGACCAGTTTCTTCTTTTAGAAAAACGAGAATTTTTTCCCTATATTTAGCAATTATAAATAGTACTGCAATGAAAAATTTGACAGTTCAATGATTTCCATTGAAGAAGCAGCAAAAACCAGAACTGCGGGGACACAGCTCTGAGCACCTGCCACTCCACCACTGCTTTTCATCCACGCTGTACGTGTATGTCAGTGATCTGAAGGGAAAGCTGCAGCCTTGATTTATGTATTCCTGTTTCGTGTGAGAAGCTTTGTTGGGAAGCTGATGCTTGGGCATTAACTTAGTTCTTTGGGCTGCTTCTTATTTACTCTTTTTATGTAAGGTGAATGGCTTCATGCTACATATTTTTTGATTTGTTTCTTGGTTTTAATTTTGTAGCTTCTCTAAATTATATTATTCTTTTCTTTTTTCCTTTTTCTTTTTGATAAAAATATAGACAGTATTTCCAGAATTATCTTTTGTGATTTATTCTGGGGTGCTATGCTCCTGGCTGAGAAGGAGTCCATTGGTTTTAAATCAGGGTGATTTTGCAACAGTCCCAGGGGATGTGTGGCAGTTTCTGGAGACATTTTGGTTGTCATGACAAGAGGAGATGCTTTTTATACCTCTGGGTACAGTCTAAGGTGCTGCAAAGTATGAACAGCACACAGGACAGCTTGCTGTCCTGCCCCCGGAAAAAACTCAACAGTTCAAAATTTCAACCACAGCTAAGTTGTGAATTGCTGGCCTAGCACTGCAGTCCAGCTTGTGGTGGTTTCCTTTACTCCTGCATTTACTTACCCAAATTCCCTTTGGTGGATTATGCAACAGAGGGAGCTAACCTATTTTAATGTAGTGTCTACTATACTTCCTAAGTACTACTCCATTCCTAGTTGATTTGAAGTGCTGTCTTCCATATGTGTTAAAATTCACAAAACAAGTATTTAAAGGTTTATGTATACATTTCTATTTTGAGGACATGTACCATAGTTCTCTGCCCCACCAGAGACATGATGTTTAACTTTCTGTATCTTTATAATTGCTGTCTATATATGATAAATATATAACATGATAAATATAACATGTATAACATGATAAATCTCATGTTATTCTGACTCGAAATCCCCACGGAACTGTCAATTAACCAATCCCCTTGTCTTGATCAAGAGAGTGGTCCTCATTTCAGTAGTTGTGGTCCTGGGATGGTGTGTGTGTGTGTGTGTGTGTGTGTGTGTGTGTTGCTGTTGTTTTGTTAAATAAACAGGGTGTCAAACTTTCCTCTAAATGTTTATCTTCATACCCACAGATCAGTGGTGCTGTTAGGCTTGGCCAGGGAAGCTTCTGGTTACAATGAGCAACAGTTAATGCAGAGACTCATAACTTGTCAAAGTGCTGAGAACAAGGAACTTAAGTGCTCAGCCTTAAATGGGGAATCTACATCACTTCACCCAATGCTCCAGAACACTGCAGAAGAGTGAGGTGGAAAGGCTGTAAGAACCGGAGACTGGGGAGACTATGACCTTTTATATCCATGAACATACAGGTGTGCAGGTGTGGCTACCTGCACAAGACCTGTTCAAGACAGGGCCCATCACCCTTCCATCAGGGATGAAGGAGGGTACATATGGCCTTATTCTTCTCTAAGAAGCAGTGGAAAGATTGCAGAGGGGAAGGGAATCATAGTCCTCAGCTGTGAAACCATGGACAAAGCCTTTGCTCAATTAACTAACATCACCTGTGCTCATGTAGGCAACCTTGATTAAATGCAGTAGATCTAAAACACCAAAGTGGTAGGGAGACTTGTCACACACACACACAAAAGGTACAGTGGGAGGGAGACAAGAAAGGATAATGGGGAGATATCAGCAAAGTATGTTACATATATGTATAAAATTATTAGTGAGAGAAGAAAATAGACCATGACTACTCAGGGAGGTTCAACCCACCCATGGCCGACCGGAGGGGAATGCAAACCAACCACCGCAGAAGCCACTGCTTCTTTTCTAGGGGAAAATTCAGGAGGCTGTTTCAATTGTCACTCCACACACCAATGATCCTAGAAGATATTACTTCTACTGTGAAGCACACTTATGACTACCCACAGAGGATGCCTGAGCAGACTGGTATGACAGTGCAAAAATGTTGTGGTTAGCAAAGAGAAGGTTGTGTACATGTGTGACTGGATATATAAACAGCCCTCCTCTCTGTCTCCCGGGGTCAGTTAAGGAGACCTCCCTCTTGGACACTGCCACCCCATCCCCCACTGGCCGCCTGTTTCAGTCTAGATCTCAACAATTGCTTTTGGTGGTTTCATTGCATACTGTGGTCCTTTATCATGGGTGGGCAAGACGAAACTTGTGATAGAATAAACGGACATCTCCCAGGGCCTGTAGTCCCAGAGAACAGATAGGAAGAGAGACTGCAAACACCAGAAACAAGGCTGAGGGAAGTGCCAAGATGGCAAAAGGCTAAGGAAGGCGAGCATTGCAACTGGCCCCAGCAGCTGGAAATGCTCTAGGTACTGGCTGTAAATGGAAGAGCAGGGGCTGCCAAGGCTCCCAGTGTTAGCTGCTGGGCGATGGTCTGCTGCTGTTCAAAACTCCAAAGTGGCTCACACCAAGAAGATGCACACTGTCTACTCGTGATGTCCACCCAAACAAAGCAAGGAGCCCTCTGCTGTAGCACAAGTACCTAAGGTTATATGAATTAGCTTAGAGAATGCATTCGGCAAAGGTTTATATAGAATACTCTTTGTGCTTAAAATAGTGTTTAATAAGGATATTTGCTCAACCATGTTTGTAGCAGCTTTATCTGTAATAGCCAAAAGCTGGAAACAACCAAGATGTCCCACAACGGAGGAATGGATACAGAAAGTATGGTACATCTACACAATGGAATACTACTCAGCAATAAAAAACAAGGAAATCATAAAATTTGCAGGTGAGTGGTGGGATCTGGAAAAGATCATCTGCATCATCCAGAAGCAGAAAGACACACACAGTCTTACTCACTCAGATAGACATATAATATAGGATAAACCTAGTAAAAATCTGTACACCTAAAGAAACTAATCAAGAGGGAGGATTCTGGCTAAAATGCTCAATCCCCATCCAGAAAGGCAAAGAGGATGGACATCAGAAGAAGGAGAAAACAGGGAACAAGTTAGGAGCCTGCCATGAAGGGCCTCTGAAAGGCTCTGCCCTGCAGACTATCAAAGCAGACGTTGAGTCTTATGGCCAAACTTTGGACAGAATGCAGGGAGTCTTATGAAAGAAGTGGGAAATAGTAAGATCTGGAGAGGACAGGAACTCCACAAGGAGAGCAACAGAACCAAAAAATCTGAGCACAGGGGTCTTCCCTGAGACTGATACTCCAACCAAGTACCATGCATGGAGATAACCTAGAACCTCTGCACAGATGTAGCCCATGACAGTTCAGTCTCCAAGTGGGTTTCATAGTAATGGGAATAGGGACTGTCTCTCACATTAACTGATTGGCCTGCTCTTTGATCACCTCCCCCTGAGGGGGAAGCAGCCTTACCAGGTCACAGAGGAAGACAATGCAGCCACTCCTGATGAGACCTAACAGACTAGGATCAGAAGGAAGGAAAAGACACCCTCTCCTATCAGTGGAGTTGGGGAGGGGCATGGGTGGAGAAGGGGGAGAAAGGGAGAATGGGAGGAGGAAGAAGGAAGAGGGGGAGGGGAGG